AAAAGCAGCCGTACAATATAGTCATATGTTCTAACCCAAGGAGATGTCTCCTGGAGATTCTTCACTTCCAGACGTTGTAACACTACCTGCCGCTGAACACAATGTAAATTCTCTTGGCTGCCCATATCAACATCAGCCCTCATTTGCCTCGGACTCTGCTCGAGCTTTGCCAATTCTTCAAGCTCTTGATACAACTGCTCCGTGCTCGCAATAAACTTCTTCATTTTCTTAACCTTCCTCTCCATCTTCTTGCGCCTGTATTGCCACCATATCCATTTGGGATCTATCTCGTCTGGATCATCAAATACTCGTTCAAGATTGTGGTATAGTGGGTCTTCGCACTTCTTCCCCAGACTATCCACTGACTTCGCCACACTCACCAGATTTTCAAATATCTCAGCAAGAACAAGATCCATCAGATAGTCCTTATCTCGGGAAACCAGTTTTTGAATGCCAATCGAGTTTACAATCTCCTCTCTCAATTTAACAATCTGCTGATCACATAGACATTGCCATATATTAACCACCTTCAACATCAACCTCGAGACTTCAAATGCCAAAATTCCAATCACAGGCTTCTGAGGATCCAATGTTCTACCCTTGCGAGAACTCCATATATTACCAAACCAATTCTCTTTTACAGTTTGGCTCCCCGTCCCACAAATCTGATAAACGCCTAACTCACCTATACCATCCATTGATCTGCATAAAATCTCGCAAAACGGATAACTTAGGAATAAAATTCGAAATCACACACACACACACACACACACAAAAAGGATCAGAAGAACATATATTAATTTTGGAAGTAGAAGAATGAACAGTATGGATAGGCTACACTCTTACAAAGTATAATAAACTTTACGACCACTTCATTTAGGTACTATTTGGATAAGCATTTCCATATAATTTTCCCTTTTTTAGCATAATACGACTTAAATGTTCTTTGTTTAAGCATAGCCGTATCATCTAAACAGAAGAAAAACAATATCTTTCTGATACTATCGGCAAGAGAGTGAACTTCTACCGAATTCTCCATATTTACACCCCTAAACAACAATGCAGAGAGCAAAATCTATAAATTATGGTAATTAACAACTTAAACTCACCGATTATTCAAGCAATCTCCAATAGTATTCGAGTGCCCAAGCATCATTTTACCAATTGCACAAAGGATTTTGAGAGAGAGAGAGAGAGAGAGAGAGAGAAATTCTTCACACTTGAGAAAGGAGTTACAAAGATTAGGTGAAGAAGAGGTTGAACGCAGGGATGTAGGTTTGTAAACGTCGCATCACCGCGCCAAAATTCGGAGTGATCGAGAGAAAATTATTCGTTTATGCGGTGGGATACTGTATACGTGGCAACTCGGTGGAACTAACGACGCCGTATGAATGTATAAATTGGAAATTTTGTGCGAAATTTTAACTTTTATTGGCATTGTTCATTTTGGTACTTGGGTGGTCTTGAGAGTGGCCGTGGGAATTTTTTTGGAGCATATGCTTGTTCTATTACTTAATTAGAGTTTAATGGAAATGTAATGATGTCACAATTGTTTCGGCACATTAATTTGGGAAAATTTTCTTTTTCTTTACTCGTATATTTTCTATACCAGTAAAATTGAATAATATTATTTAATAATGTCGGTATTAAGACAACGGTTTAAGCGACAGTAATACAACGTTAAATGAGATGTACAATTAGCTAAGTCAATTATAACTTTTACTAAGTCTACCACATAATGTCACCTAAATTGGTTAATTTTGTCCTCATCATTCAACTAATCGTTCAACTATCTTACTCATCGATTAACTTGAGTCCACATTGACCTAATTGTTCAACTATCTTGCTGAGAAAATAAGTTAACATTTTGCTCCGATCATGCGAATAGAGTTAGTTTTGTTCAAAAGAGAATACTAACTAAAATTGATTAATTTGATTGTTATTACATATGAAAGATGGGTTGAATGATATTAGATTGAATAAAATATTAAATAGTTTAAGTGAAATTGAAATTTTTAATCACTTAGAATCTGTCTGGCAACGATTTTTCTCCTCCAAGGCATTGATTTTTTGACCGTTAACTATGACAGACGGGCCCCACCTGTCTCACACATGGTCACCAATTACGGCTTCAACAGTGGCTGAACGGCATTATTTCTCC